AAGGCCATGCTCTTCAGGTAATTAATTGGTTCCAAGTAGTTTTAGTTTTGTTGGATTTTGTAACTGATAGAGATATTGAAAACTACTCAAGAATGAAAATCCGGGGTCCAATAGCCCAGGATCTCTCCAAGAAGATGACTTGGACCAAGATAGATGATTCGGATCAGGACAGGTGACCCAGACCCAAGATTAGGGACCTAGCTAGGGTTGGCCTTCGAAGTCCATTGTCTTGGCTAGCTAATATTTTTACATTAATCCACCCAATATTATTACAATTCATTTACATACTATTTTACACTTATAATTTATGACTTAGTTTATCTACATATATCCCGGGTCAATTATATAATAAATTGTTGCATGCATGCAGATCCAGTGGACAGGTGATGCCGGAAAGATTATCATTAACGGTACTGATTACTTCATGTTACAATGCCACTGGCATACTCCCTCTGAGAACACTGTGAACGGCAAAAAGGTTGATATGGAGATTCATCTGGTTCATAGGAGTGCAAAAGATGAATTTGCTGCTGTCTCCATCTTATACAAAATAGGAAAACCTGATAAGTTCCTTGGACAAGTAAGTACCATTCAATTCTCTCTCTCTCTATATATATATATACAATAGAATTGAATTGATCTTATATACATTAATTAATTAATTTCTTGGTTCCACTCCAGTTGCTGAACAGCATCAGGCAAGTTGATCGCAATGGTAAAGCTTTAGGCGCCCTTAATCCAGGAAAGATCACATATGAGGGCAAGAAATATTACAGATTCATTGGTTCCCTCACTACCTGCTGCTCACAGGGTGTCATCTGGACAGTAACCAAAGAGGTCTGTATCCTAACCTTAACCTCCCAACACACCCACCCAAGATGACTAAGGATACAACCACAAGGTCACGAGTTTGAATCTCAACCTTCTTTGTTTGAGCCGGTTAACTATGAGCAATCTGGGCTGGTTTACCTAGCTGTTGCCAACCTAGCTGGGTTGGTTTACCTAGCGGTTTACCTAGCTACCTAGCTATATATGCACTACTTAGCTGGGTTGGTTTACCTAGCTACATATGGACTACCTAGCTGGGTTGGTTTACCTAGCTACATATGGACTACCTAGTTGGGGTGGTTTACCTAGCCCTGGGCTACCTAGCTGGGCTGGTTTACTCAGCTATTGGCAACCTATCTAGCTAGGCTGGTTTACCCAGCTATATATATATGGCAACCTAGTTGGGTTGGTTTACCTAGCTATATATGGTCAATTTAGTTGGGCTGGTTTACCTAGCTATGGGCAACCTAGGTTGGTTCTTTGACCAACAAGAATCACAAAGCGGGATTTATCAGTGCACACCATCGAATAGTGGCTGCAGATTTCTCTCATAATCCAAGAAAATTAAATATGCATGTATCTCTTTCTCTCACTCACACAGTGATAAAACTGTTTGATTTTGTAGGTAAAGACAGTATCACAGGAACAGATAAACTTATTAAAGGAAGCTGTTGATGATGTAAGTACTGAATTATGTATCTATCTACATAGATTTAATCTGTGACACATATATACATAGAATGGTACAAATATTTGATGTTTTGAATTTGTTGTTTAGGGTTACGAGGAAAATGCAAGGCCACTGCAACCACTGAATGGAAGGACAGTATATCTCAATCAACCATAGGAACGTTGTTGCCGGTGCTGTTTAGGAATTATATGTATTGAGGGAGCTGAGTGATTGCCCACCATTAAACTGAATATACAAATCATTTTCAAACATAATAATTTCAATACATTATGTTTTATAATTATATATTTGTATATGATTCATGATAATGTAATTAAATTTTTGGTCAATCTTTAATTGAAATAACATACATTGCTTACTTTTTATCAATTGAGTCCTGCGTTTTAAATGATCATTTCATATTGAATAATTATTGTCATTTTTAAACATAATAATTACATACGTTAGCTTTCAAAAAAAAAAAATTACATACGTTATGTTTTAAAATTATATATTTGTATGATTATGAATATTCTCGTTAAAGAATTGAATCAATATAATATACATTTATACATTAATATACGTTTATATGTGAAATTAAACGTTAATTTTTATATTATATAAATCAAATATATAAATATTATATATATAAAATATATTTCAAAAAATAAGCGGATTAGCCATTTTTTATAAGATACAAGTTGGAAAGCACTTATACCTCCAATTTGTATACATTGCAATAGTCAAACAACAATTGGAGAGGTACAACGAACATATATATATCGTAGACATAATACTATATATAGTGAATCAGCTAACTAAAGGAATTAGCAGAAACTGATAAGAAGTTGACAAATGAAAATCACAGAACCGCCAAATAAATATCAGATATAAGGGACACAAGATTTACGTGCAAACCCCCAAAAACCACGGGAAAACCCCCAAAAACCACGGGATCACTACCGTGGCCCACAGGCTAAAAGGAATGGCTGACGGTGTAAGATTCACTATGATTCGTGTGTTTTGTTCTTTGATGAAGGTTGTGCTAGTACTTGCACCAAGTGGGAGAATGTAAGATTTTCCCTAATAATATATATTATACATTATATATTAGGGCCTTAATTAAGTGGTGCAAGTTGACTAGGCTTATTAAGTGATCTGGTTGGACTTAATAACTAGTAGTTGTTAGTCAACCAAACTCTGTGCCTAATATAACCTGGATTGATGGGATACAGGATTATGGATTAGATAGCACATTCAGTTACGGTACTCAGACCGCTCAGTAGACACCAATACACCATCTAGGGTTCTGAGTCAGGTCTGAGGCAAAACATGGCTGACGGTCTACCGTTAAGAGGCAACACAACAGGAACATCAACTATGGCTGGAGATCAGCACGGCTACGCTTCCGCTATCATACGAGGTCAGGTTTCTCGTATATTATGGTTGCCCACAGGCTAAAAGGAATAATATCTCGCATCCAAAATGTGCTTGGAATAAATACAAGCTGACCTCAAAGTATTTGATGAAGATAATACCCAAGAGCTAGGAAAACCTTCCGTTGCGGCGAACTGCCGTGAAAAAGGACGAATGAAAAATTGAATTCTGTTTTTTTTGATGCCTCTGCCGAAGAGATAAGAAAAATAAGATTTTTCTTCTTTCTCTATCAAAACTGTCGAAATGGAATTATGTGGAAGCTTGTGGAAGATGTGGATTTCTCTCTCATTAAGAATGAGCATTGCATCCCCTTTTTATAGATAGGTTCTGCCGACATAGAAAGGAAAAATGGGGAAGAAAGCAAGTGAAGGGAAATTATCTTCAAACCTCATCCATACTTTTGCTCCAACTTCCACCCTTCAACTTCTACCAAATTCCTTCTCTCCAACTTTCTGCTCCAACTTCTACCCATATCCCATTCTCCAAGACAAATAATTTGTCATCAAACTTTTCCATCAAGCTAACAAATATATTATAGTGAATATAAATTGGCTTGGTCCAAATTGAGCTATTTACCACACAGGAGGGAAGCTCAATCCCAACAAATCCCCCCTCCCGACTATGTGGAAGGTATCGCTATCCCGGCGATAGAGCAACACACCTCAAACTTTCTTCTTGGCAACGATTTGTTCATCATGTCAGACCCATTATCATCAGTATGAATCTTTTCAAGTTCAAGCATATTGCACTCCAAGATATCTCTAATCCAACGATATCTTGTGTCAATATGTTTTGACCTGTAATGGAACGTGGAGTTCTTTGCAAGATGAAATGCACTCTGACTATCACAATAGAGCACATGCTTGTCTTGAACAAACCCGAGTTCCTGAATAAACTTCTTCATCCATAAAATTTCTTTATTGGCCTCAACAGATGCTATGAACTTAGCTTCAGTGGTAGACAAAGCAATGCACTTTTGCAATCTTGATTGCCACGAAACTGTTCCCTCTACATAGGTAATCAGATAGCCTGAAGTAGATTTCCTCGTATCAATGTCTCCAGCCATATAAGAATCAGTATATCCGGTAAGAATAGGTTTCCCTATACCAAAACACAAACTCAGACTTGAAGTACCCCGACTCAGCCAGTTGCGGGAGAGATACTGGCGTGTTGGCGGTGAGGGAAGCCGCATAGGCCCGATACTCCGGTCGAAGGCCCCGTAGAACATACAGATTTTGTTCTGCAAGGGATAGAGGTTATCCGGCCTGTGCGAGAGCGGCAACGAGCAGTTCGGCCTTGCCGAGTAGTCCGCCGCCGTCGAGCCACCTTGCCGGAGGGATTGAAACTGCCCAAGCAAGTTCAGGCATCTTGCTTGGGTATTGGAGCCGAGGGCCGTGCAGATGGATCGCCATACTTCTGCCACCGTGTTACGCCCAACAGCAAGGTGAAGAACCTCGTCAGACATTGACAAGATGAGAAGAGAAAGAATCGACTGATCCTGTTGAACCCAGGCTTTGTGAGCCGGATTCGGGATTGGGGCCGCCGTTATCGCGCCGGAGTCGGAGGTGCCGTCGGGTGAGAAATGATAGTGGGAGGAGGGCACAATGAGGTGCCATCCACAAAGCCGAGGAGGTCTGTCCCGAAGAAACGGAATGAGCTGTGTATGCCAGAATAGGAAATTTCTGGATGTCAACTTCATAGATATGAAGTGATGAGCTCCCGTTAGTGGGTTGTTTGCCGGACGGGGATGAGCCACCGCCGACGGAAATAGTCCTCTCGGAGGAGTTTGATGACATGGTGGTGGTGGGAGGTTCACGGTGGTTGTCGGTGAAAAGAGGAGAGAGGGAGGATCGACTTTTGGCTGATACCAGATTAGAGAAAGGATTGTTATTCTGTTTCAACAAAACAGAGTTACAGGAGAGTATATAAAACTATACCACTATTATCTCCTAACTAATAGCCTAGTCATACAAGACTTATTCTAATACAAGATATTACTAGACTTAGGATAATAAATAATAATAACAAATAATAACATTACTAACACCCTATACCAAAACACAAACTCAGACTTGAAGTACCCCGAAGATATCTCAGAATCCACTTAATAGCATCCCAATGTTCTTTCCCTGAATTTAAAAGAAATCTGCTAACAATACCCACTGCATGAGCAATATCTGGTCCTGTTGTAACACCCCACTTTTCTTAAACTTAAAACCAACATTAATATAAACTAAGCAGCGGATAAACAATCTTAACTAATAAACTAGTGGAGATTGTTGGGGACAATTCGGATAAATATGTCGTAGACCTGGGGCTACTGTTTTTTATAAGCTGAGAATGGATGAATCCTGAAGGGATCGGTGACGCGTGCGAGACACTACCTTAAAAGCAAAAATTTCCCGGAGACGGTTGTAGTCTTACCGGTTGCTTTCGACCAGTTAACACCGAAGCTCAGGATTGCAGAAGAGAAGAAGAGAATTTGATGAGTGAATAGAACCGAGGAGAAGCAGGGTATTTATAGTATTGAAAATACCCGCCCCTCCCCTCTCAGCCATTCATGCTCCACGATTTTAGGAAGAATTGTGGTGAAAATGCCCACAAGAATAGGAAGACTTGTTCCACCACAACTTAATGTGTGGATGGTAGATTTCTACATGAAATCTACCTCTAAAAGGGAAAAAACTCGGAATTAAAATAAAGCCCGAGTAAAACGCTGACCACACCGCGACGCGCGTGCGAACTGAGCCATGCCGGGTGGGGCGGCGGCGGCGCGCGCGCGTGTGGGGTTCCCTTTCCTTCTCTCTCTCTACAATAGTTTAAGCCTTCCAAATGGGTTGGTATTAAAAAGGTTGGAATTAGTCCCTTCCTTCCAATGTGGGTCAAGAGTGTCTTCCTTCTACACACTTTAAAATACCATCTTAAATGTAATCTCCAACAATCCCCCACACATTCAAGGTGGCAAGAAGAAGACGGAATTTCTGGCACGAGTGCTGATCTTAATGTCAGTGGTTGTACCTTGAACTAACACGTAGTGACTTGAGTAACTTTCTCCTTTGATAGTGAATTAGATCTTGAACTATCGAAAGAAGAGTTAGTTTTGAACTCAGTTCACACACCAGCAATCACCCTGTAAGAATATATAACTTGGTCTTTCTCGTAAGGTCAACTCTTTGACCTGAGACCTATCTCTAAATAGGTGTGTTTAGCTTCCAGGTTTATATAACCTCGAAGTTTGCTCACTGTATCGCTATTAAGCCCATCTCCCTCGATGTTTCGAGGATGGCTCTTTTGTTTAGCCCCTTCGTGAGAGGATCTCCAATGTTCTTTTCGGATTTCACATATTCTAGTGAAAGTACGCCACTTAGAATTAGTTGTCTCACAGACTCATGTCTGACTCTTATGTGTCTCCTCTTACCATTATAGGCACTATTTTTGGCTACGCATATCGCAGCTTGCGAGTCACAATGTATGGGCACTGACAGCGTAGAAGACCCCCACAATGGCACGTCTGCCAGTAGGTTTCTAAGCCACTCAGCCTCTTGCCTGCTAGATCAAGAGCTATAATTCAGCTTCTATCGTTGATCTGGCTATGCACGCCTGTTCGTGGACTTCCACGATACTGCTGCTCCTCCCATGGTAAAAACATACCCGCTGGTGGAGCTCACCTCATTACTATCATTCACCCAATTCGCATCGCAATACTCCTCTAGGGACGCTGGGAATCCAGAAAAGTGCAATCCCAGTTCATCGTTCCCTTTAGGTAGCGTAACACCCTCTTTAGTGCATTCAAATGGGTATCGCTGGGATTATGAGTGTATCGACTTAGTCGATTTACCGCAAGTGCAATATCAGGTCTGGTATAGTTCATTAAGAACATCAGACTCCCGATTATTTTCGCATATTCCTCTTGAGACACA